GCTTTCTAGAGGAGGGTGGTTGAGGTTGCTGTGGGGTGCCAGAACCCGGTTTTGGTAGGGTTTTGGTGTTTTTGGTGGTTGTGAAAATGTAAGCTGTGGGTGCCCTAGGTTCCAAAAATATGGTTTGGCCAGTGTGTGGTGAACCTCCAGCCTGGGGAAGTTACATTTTCTGCGTTGTACGGACTGTAAAGAGGACCAAAAATGTAAGCAGTGGGTGCTGAGGGTTCCAGAAACATGGGTTCTGCTAGGGATTGGAGAACCTCCAGCTTGGGTAAGTTACATGTTATGCCTTTTCAAGGGGCCTTTGCTGGTGCTTTCTAGGGGAGGGTGGTTGAGGTTGCTGTGGGGTGCCAGAAACCTGTTTTGGTAGGGTTTGGGTGGTTTTGGTGGGTATGAAAATGTAAGCTGTGGGTGCCCTAGGTTCCAAAACCATTGTTTTTTGCCAGTGTTTGGTGAACCTCCAGCCTGGGGAAGTTATATTTTCTGCTTTGTAAGGACTGTAACGAGGACCAAAAATGTAAGCCCATATATGGGTGATTGGTCCCTCACTGATTGGCTCATATGGGTGATTTTTGAACACACTATCCAGTGAGTGATTTGGAACACCCCACAGCAACCTTAACCACTCTCGAGGAAGTTCCTGGGGAGCACTAAGGACAAAACGTAGGAACATACCTAGGGGGGGTAAGTTACATTTAGGTATTTTGAGTGCTTGGGGACCTCAAGAAATGTAACTTACATTGAGTTTGGGGGGGGGCCTCCCCCAAAAAAATGTAACTTACATTTCCTAGACGTCCCCCCCTGTTTATAGCCGCAAAGGGGTAGGGATTATATTATTATTATTATTATTATTATTATTATTATTATATATATCCCACTAAAATATACCCCCAAAAATTGTCCCTTGGATTAACCATTTTTCTTTACGCGTGCGTGGTTTCCACTTCCATGTCGATGACTCGGAGAGCATGTAGATGGATCAGAGTCAGGAGATCTATGCACCCTCAGAATGGTGTGAGTGGTCTGAGCATTGCCTTTGGGATCTGAGACTCTGCCAAACTGCCAAGTTCAGCTTCCAAGTGTCCGTGTTGAAAAAGCACATGTGAATGCCAAGTGGGTTGACATACATAATTACCATACCATACCATTACATACTGAGCTTTACACATGCACCGGGCCACCATGCCCTTTCTGATCCCAGTCCGCAAGGCCCAATGAAGGCAACTCTACGAGCTCCAACTGAAGTCAACCACTGCTCGGGCCGGTGTTGTGAGTTGCGTCATCTGTTCTTTTTTGCGCCGGCCAATGCACAATGTTGGCACCTCGTATTCTTCAATGCGTCGTCAGTGTGGGCATGGTCGACATGCTTGCAATGCACAAGAAATGCACTTGCTGAGAGACACAAGTGCAGGCACCTTGCAGGATCCTTTGTGTTCGATCAGGCCATGTCAACAGGGGAGAACATACCCTATTAGCGTGATCCTATTGGCGTGCCAAAATGCGCAAGAAATAGCACGGTGAAACATCAACCTTTCAATCGCTGAAGAGAAACAGGGCCTTGCCCTAAGTGACATATCTCTGTTTGCAGGCTACGTGTACTCATTATTAGCCTAGCCGGCTTCAACTCCACAAAGCATTGTAGAATACCTGCATGCAGGCTCAATGTTGGAGAGCGTACAGTGTGGGGTTACACATTGCAACTCCCTTGCCGTTCGCGCGTCCACCTGCAGGTTCTCTGCGTGAGCGTCCGTGCTAGCGAAGTCCACCTGCACGGCTCAAAACAGAGTTTGTCGGACAGCCAGCCCAAGCCAGTGTCAAACGCCCATGGCTTTTTAAGGAACAGCTCCAGTGTGAACAGGTTTACTGCACCACCATCACTACCAAACATCCATAGTGCTTCCAGGATTTCGGACCCCCCCGACGTAGCAAGCAGGCCTTTTACGTCGAATTCGAATTCGAGTCTTTGTTTTCGCGGGAGTCACCTCCCCTCAGATGGGACCGGACTCTCCACCTGATCATGTCATGTTTCGTGCGCTCCTGGCGCCATACGTCGCGTGAAACAGCAGGACCGTGTCCGACCTGATCACGAGCCTGGCCGTCGCCACACCCAACTGATCACGCTGAGTGCAGCCAGAGGACCGCAGCCGCAGTACGGGGCGCCCCAAAGGCCCGTGGGTGTCCCCAAAAACGAATCTTCATTGGGTGTTCATGTCTTCTTCCCCTGAGATCCACTGGGCAGGTCGCGTGAAAAAGACTCCACCATCTCCTTGAAAGGGAGCCAAACCATAGAGGGTCCGACATCATTTTGATGGGATTGTCTGCTCTAAAAGACTCTAAAATGACCCCCTTCTTTGCACTGGCAACGTATCCCACCTGCCAATGGAACAAGCACCACCCGAAGAGCCCGACTGTCGCCGTAACAACACCCAACTGATACATCACGCTGGGTGCAGCCAGAGGACCGTATACTACGCCCCACAATGCCCGTGGGTTTTCCACCCCTAAAAAAACGACTCTTCCGTTGGGTGTTCAATGGTTTTCTTCCCTTTCACTGAGATTCACCAGGCAGGTCCCATGACCTGAACAGCTTTCCGGTCTTCCTCGAGTCGGAAAACGCAAGAGAAAGCAGACATGTCTGAGGGGCGTTTCCCCTCGCAGACAGGCCATCCCAGCTGGGTCCGAAGAGCCCAAAATCTGCAAATCCCCATCAGGTTGTCAGCCAGGTCTGGGTGTTCACTTATATTATAGTATGTATACCTAGTGCTTCGAAAGTACCACGGGGGGTTCTAAGTATAGTTTAGACTCTATAGACATGTGAAATCACATGTTTAGACTCCAATTTGGGGCTTAGGCCTCTTTCTTCGGACCTGCTTTTGCTGGAAAACGAAGCTCAAGCGTTTTCACTTTCTTCCGCCAGCGTGCCGCCGCATCTCCAAAGCTCTCCTCGCATGCGTCCAGCGGAGACAGGGTGTCAATCTATTCAGCGGGAACCTGAACCACACCCAGCTACAGCGCATCATTTCGTGCTTCCACTTTCCCTGTTGGAGAGCAAACCATCAAGCATCACGCACCCCAAAGCCCCAAAGTAACTATTAAAGTTGGAGTCCCATTTGTCTTAGCATGATGCTGCTGGCCGGCTTTTGATGGTTTTTGTTTGTCATGTATAGATGATGTCAGCCATAGGAGCAGGGGCAGTCTGAACACATCTTGCTGTGGAATACCATCAAGAGCTACATGCGACTCAGACCCTTTGCTCAAATCCCAAGTGGTGGTTAAAAGATTGGCAACAAAAATAATCTTGGGGAGTTGAGCCAAGAGTTTCAGATGATATGTGTTCACTTTGCTCACCGTCTTGATTCTCCCAGCGTCATGCTGACCGCACCAGTCACATGCGCACAGAGCACCGCACTTGCACTGCGCACTGCTTGAAGAAGGCATGTGCTATGTTTATCTATGTTCCCTGTTCATCCTGGCATGGAGACACTCCCGCCTCCGGCAAGGTCATGGTGAAAATTTCACCTGGACACCGGGCGCAGGTCAAGGTCAAACGATGTGTGTCCATCGCCAGCTCTAAATCCTGCATAGTCCTCAGCTGGCTCATGCGATTCGACGGTTTTGCATGCAAGGCATTGGGCCAAAAACACCTCACAGGCATTAGCTAGCAAAATTTACCAGACTTGATCTGCATCCACTCATTGCCACTCTCATTGCCCCAAAGCTGCCGCATCACTTCCAGCAGTTCACGCGAGGGATCTCAAGGGGTCCAGGCAGCAGTTGATAAATGAACGACCATGAAGGTTTCACTACCCCCAGCCAAGCGGAGCTATAGAGCTTTAGAGGACCCACACGAGCGGAGCAGCTGTCCACCCCACCCCACCCGTTGTTCGTGCCGAATCACCCTCGGCAGCAAAGCCAAAGGTGGCAGTTGTCGAAACTTACCAGCAACCCTTGTTATTAGTAGCGATGCCCCTGCTACCAGTAGCTTTTAGCCACTAGTAGCCATGCACTTGTTGCTAAATTCTCTGGAGGATTTCTCAGTGTAGTCTTTTTATGCTTCTTGTGTGAGAGCCTTCTTCTGCACGTTGTGTTGGTAGTCGGGGTAGCGGTTCCAGTGCGTACGGTTGGGTGGTCGTTGATGCTTCTTCCCCCGGTGGTCGCGACGCCGTGACGTTTCGACACATGTGTCATGTCATGCAGTAAAACCTGTGCCAACTACGCTGCAGATCATCTGCAGATCCCTGAAAGCCCTATATGAAGCTCCTTTTCTGATCCCCAAGTCCTCCAACCATGTCCAAGACCCCAACATCAAATAAGAATATTGGATTTGCTCAAGGAACCGAGAAACATATACAAAACATAATATAATATTCCCAAAAGCGGATTTATCCATAGGGGCATCAGCAAAAGCCGCAGAAATTCCGGGGGACAGCTCCCCAAATGCGGATCCGGTCGATTCATGTCGGGTTCTATGTGACCATTGATGGGTAAAGGTTGTTTGACCATTGAGCTGTTGGACCATGCGGCAATGGCAAGTCTTCAGTCAGTGTTTTCTTTCGTTTGTGGGAGGAGTGGACCTGATGGCTGCAGCGGATGGCCGGTTGAGATGATCAATCTAGGACGCACGAGGGGGTGGTTCATTCAGGCTAACCCCTTGGTACTCTACGCCAATCAGAAACACATCCCCTGCCCACATCTTGGAGCAAAGCTGCACATCGGAGAGCGATTCTTTCAACCTCACGCTGATGAGAAGCTCTCCCTCCAGACGTTCTTGGAGCACTTCTTCGATCCACACGACTGAGGCTGATTGCTCCTCTGCTGAAAAGGATTCAACATGCAGATGCGATTATGGTGAAGGAAAAGGGACAGCCCCACTTCAGGTTCCAATATGAAACTCAAACAATGGCATCACGCACACAACATCAAGACCCTGCTCCCCCAAAGTTTGACCAATGATTGCGAATCTGCAAGCGTTTTTTTTTTCCGCTTCACTTTAGGGGTCTACGCTCCCCGAAGTCATCCATGAAAATGGAGTTCACCACCTGTGTAGAGAGCGCACTCATGGTCATCCAAAAGGGAGATTGGCATTTCCCCAAACATCTAGGAACCACATGAATTAGTGCCAGCGCTTCTTCAAGGAAACTCCCCTCCGCCGCCTGTAGGCCGGCAGGGGAGCTTCCTTGAAGAAGCGTCTTCGCTATCCTGCATCCAGTAGGTAGTCAGCTATCCTAGCCCTCTATGAAGTAGGCAGTGCAGTAGGGCGCATACTGGGCGCCTACTTCATCAAGTACATAAGAGAAGTACATAATATAGGACCATACATAAGAGAAGTACCCCTTCATTAAGTAGGCGCATACAGGCAGTACATAAGAGCGGTTCTTTGTTTCAAGAAGGACCGCTGGCACCATGCCGATCGGATCACTCGCAGCGTCGAAAACGGTGCCGGCGCCTCCATCTTCGGCTGGAACCTGGTTAGAACAGACGGTACGCGCCATGCGCTGCGTGGCGCGAAGAACGTGGTAGAAGACCTGTGCTTCAAGTGGGAGAGAAGGAAAAAACGTCTCGGGTGAATGAACTGATTGGACTTCTCCCTACAATCATGGAGAAAGTGGACGTCCTGGCCCGTCGTGGGCCCCCTTTTTAAAGACTATGTGCTTCTAGAAATACGGGGTGAACTAACTTGCTCAGATTTGATCTTCGAACATTCTCACTTAACCTTCATTGATGGACATTTGAGGAAATATCATGAAATATTATAGTTTGGATATGTTTGGATATAGTTTGGACAGTTCAGAACATAGTTTTGGAGGAAAAGGCTGGGAAGGTGACCGAATGGGTGCCGCATTTCATATACTGTATTCACTAGGTACTTAATTGAGGATGAAGGTGCGACGAACTAGTGACTCATGAACATCTCAGTTTAGCCACTGGCTGGGGCGGTTGTCACTGCAAGTCGTGCCCGGTTTAGGTAGTCGAGCGATCTCTTCAGGCGTCAAGGGGTTCAGCAGGCTTCCTGACGGCTGAAGATGGCTGAAACTGTTGGCAAAAACCCGGGAAATTCACCCTAAGCACGAGCAACACAGGCAAAGAAAATGGAAGAAGGACAACACTGGCTACCACTACCAGGTGCCTATTGTCAGGTGCCTTGACCAAATGTGTCAACCGTCATGCCGCATGCCATCCAACTTATTGTTCGTCGTCTTCCACATGAAGAAATGTGCTTTCACATCGAAACGGGCAAACATCAGTCCGAAATGGGATGAACATGCTGCATGGAAACCTGTCAACTTGACAAGTCACGAAGCAGGAATATGATACATATATATATATATATTGTGGAGTAGACATAACATGCCTTACAAACCAAATGCGTGGCTCTTACCATGACACCTGTGACACCACGGTCCTTTGGCCGCAACCTTCTTGGCCCGTTCCTTTGGTGCTGGGGCATCAGCCACCAAATCTCCTCAGTCGGCTGGATGGTCTTCAAAACGCTTAGCACTCATTGATCTCCATGGAAATGGAGTTCACCACCTGTTTCTAAGAGGATTTCGCGGTCTCCAAAATTTTACAGGGAGTGTAGCCTCAAGCGATCTGCAAACTCACATCGGCTGTGAACACCATTGGTTTGTAGGTGAACACCGTCTTCCAACGGTCCATGTTCAGGGTCCTTCTTCTGTATCCAGCCATAGACCTAGAAAATTGACGCCGCTTAGTCCCTTGAATGGATGTTCATGGCATCGTGCCAAAGTAACAACCCAACATAGAA